ACCCTAGTTAATTTCCTTCCCAAATGTGTTTGGCCTCTTAGATTTTACACCTCATCTTCCTTTCACACGTGTCAAAATTCCTCTCCTTATCGCTTCTGCCTACTTCGTCTTTATTGCTTTGACTGCTTTATATTAAACACGAAAAAAATAATTTTCCAGTCATGCATAGAATATGAACAGCACCATTTCATAAGCCCTCTAGCTTCAATGTATTTTCTGGGTCTCATACAGTGAGGACACAGTTACCTTTCACTTCTAGTCAGTGCTCGTGCATAATTTAAAATGCCTAATCATAAGGTTATACCACCTGGAGGTATTTTTATCTTCTTTAAAGTAAATATAGTCATTTTTTATTTTTATGAAAGCAGTCTTAAGTTCTTTCTGTTCACACTCTATCGGTGAAATGCTAATGGCACCTCGATTTCTATATTGCATTTTAATACCAGAGGGTTAGTAGCATCACCATCTTGGATTCCCTGGGCCGAGAGTGCTGTGTGCATAATCTAAGGTTCTTATTACTGATCCTTAGCATTTAATTGGGTCTTTGTAAGTCGAAAGTACTCCCAGACATCTCTTATTAGTTTCCTCTCATACCTTCCCCGTGAGATGTCAGCTTTATTACCCTCACTTTACTTTAGTATTATCCAGAGATCAGGCTGATTTTAAATTCCATTTTTTTTTCCTGTTTGTAATTAAGATTCCCTTTTTTTTGAACATGTGATTAATTTTAGCCATATCTGCTAAAATGACTAGATGTGACCCTCCTCTCCAGAGGAAAGCCATTACGTAAGGAAACCATATTTTGGAAGAGCCTGCAGGCCAGGCTCTGCCGAGCCCTAAAAGGAATCAGACAGAAACCAGTTAATAGAGCAGAAGCCATGGAGCACACGGAAATCGGACGACTGGTTGAAGGCAAGTTACATACACGCTTTCTCCACTGGCTTAGTGTTCATGAGAATTCCCTGACTTTTCTGTAAAACGTGTTTGCTGAGATTTGTATGTGAGGCTCTGGCTCTGGTTCCTGTAATGACTGGTGGCCTGGTAACCTGTTTTACCAACCTGGTGGTGAGGCTCTATTGTTGTTTGTCTCACTGAATTACTAGTTTCTCCTTACCTTTCCCATCTGACACTCCTGACCAGTTTATACCAGTTCTTACCTCAGATCGTTCTGGAGCTGGCTGGAAGGTAATAAGATGTAGCTTAGGGACCAGCAGGTGGCGTGGTGGCTAAGGCGCTGGACACTCCCACATGGCCAACCACGGTTCGAGTCCTGGACCTGGTGGCTTGCTTTCTCACTTTCTCTCTCTCTCTGTGTCTCTCTCTGGTCAAATGAAAATAAATGAATAAATAAATAAAGTAATTTTTGGTCAAGAAGCCCTTCTTAAAAAAAAAAAAAAGAAGAAGAAGAAGCTTCAATAGGCTGACAGGTTTCTGAAGTTCAGGCTGAACCTGAACTTGTACACTCTTGCCTTGATTAATGCACACTTGAGCTGTGATTGACCTGTCATCTTGTGACAGTGCTAGAATGTGATGTTTTAGAAACAAAGTGATCAGAGATTACCAGTATTTCAGTTAGGGTTTTTTAATTGGGTTCTTACAAGCCTTGACTATTTTCTTTTTAGAGAGAAATATTTGCTGTAGGGTACATGACAGAGAGACAGAAAGCGAGAAATCACCCCCCAGAGGAATGGCCATGCCATAATCCCTTCTCCATTCTCCTCTTGGAATTTTAGGCACTCATGCACATGTGCCCTGCTTAAGTTTAAGCCACCAGGTCCAGGACTCAAACCGCGATCAACTACGTGAGAGTCCAGCAACATAACCATTATGCCAACTACTGATCTTGAGATACTAATATCTTAAACTCTATTATGTGGCATTCTATCACTCAGAACTCTGTTAACTAAGCAGAGCCTGGCCCAACCTGCTGTTTCAGTTGAAGACATCACCTTCCTCCAGCTTCACCTGGACATTGCCCACTGTCATCTCGTGACGTTGCCCCAGCTCACCCGATCTCAGCTGCACACACTGGCCTTTGGTGCCCTCTGACAGCCACTAGCACAGGTCCCATCACCCCTTCCTTCCATTCTGGCCAGTGTCCAAGGCTCCCCCTCCTCCGGAGAAGCCTGCTATTCCACAAGGACCGAGGCGATCCTGCCAGTTCTCTGCTGTACAAGTCTTTCTGGTCTACAGAATGGGGTTCAGACTCCCCACCAGGGACTCAAGGTGGTCTCACGCCGACCGCCGACCACCTCTCCATCCCGAAGCACCAGCTGTACACGGGGCTCAGTTTGCACACAGCCATAGTGGAGTTGCCCGCACAGCCTGTCCTGTTGCGTTCCCATTTGTGATGTGCCTGTAAGAAACTCCCCGCCTCATCACAGCTGCCTAAATGTTCCCCTGGTCCCTGCTCAGTGCTCAGGCTCACTCTTCCGTGAAGCCTTCCCTCTCTGCCCTTTCAGGGTCACTCTCCACCCCTCCTCGGTGTTCCACGGCTCTTCGTGCCAGCATTGTAAGAGCAGTCTTGTTTTTGCCATTTAGCTCTGTCCTTCAGAGTTTTGCAGAAGCGCCTGCCATCCATCATAAGCGACAGAAAGCGAGAAATCACCCCCCAGGGGGGATGGCCACACCGTAATCCCTTCTCCGTTCTCCTCTCGGGATCTTGGGCACGCACACACATGCGCCCGGTGTGAGTTTTAAGCCACCGGGTCCGGGACGCGAACCACGGTTGACTATGTGGGAGTCCAGCAACATAGCCATTATGCTAACTGCTAGTCCCTAGCTTTGGATCTTTTTCATCCCATAACCCAGCACTTTCTAGAAGGTACATTAAAGTAAAATGGCAGTATTAATTGCCATGCGTAACTGTGACTCTTAGACACTGCAGGATGCAGCCTGTGTCGTGCCTTCACAGTTTTACTAAATCGGATGCATGTGACAGTATTCAGAATCAACAGTGTTATTGACCGTCGGCTGTGTTCCAGGTTCTGTAGGGACTCCCCAGTGGATTAAGGCAGACAGTCTCAGTTCTCAAGGAACTTCCATTCTATGGGAAATAGATAAATAATAATTTTTTTTTCTTTTTTTGGAGAGGTTTTTGCTATAGGGCACGTGCACTCACCAGAAAGACAGAGAGATAGAAAGTGAGAAATCACCCCCCAGGGGGCATGGCCATGCCACAATCCCTTCTCCTCCATCCTCCTCTCAGGATCTTGGGCACGCACACACACGTACCCAGCGTGAGTTTTAAGCTACCGGGTCCAGGATGCAAACCACAGTCGACTATGTGGGAGTCCAGCGACATAGCTATTACGCTAACTGCTGGTCCTGATAAATAACAATTTTTGAAAGGAGTTTTAGATAATGAAAAGCACCATGGAGAAAATAAAGCAGCAGTCAAGATAGGGGGGGCTCTCTGTTAGGGCTAGCAGAGAAGCCTCTGAGTGAGTGACAGGTGAGCAGACCCACATGTCGAGGGAGATGCAGCCAGGCGAGGGCCTGATGGGGCAAGCACACAGGGATTGAGGCTGTAGGAGTTCAGCATCTCTAAAGAAAGGCATTCTTGGGAACCAGCAGTTAGTGTAATGGCTATGTCACTGGACTCCCATGTAGTCGACTGCGGTTTGCATCCCGTATCCGGTGGCTTAAAACTCTTGCCGGGTGCATGTGCATGTGTGCCCAGGATCCCGAGAGGAGAATGGAGGAGAAGGGAAATTTCTTTGAAAGATTAATTTCCCCGGGGGGTGATTTCTCGCTTCCTGTCTCTATGTCTCTCTCTGTCTGGCAAGCGCACGTGCCCTATAGCGAAAACCTCTCCAAAAAAAAAAAAAATAGAAAGGCATTCTGTGTGGTTGGAGCATAGAGTTCTAGCGGTTAAAGAGCGGACATCCCGACCAGGTCTTGCAGTAGCAGGAACCGACACAGGCCGTGTCTGGAAACTGCGTTTGTATTGAAGCAGTGTCTACAATAAATGATAGGAATGTCTTCTTTTGGTTTATGTTTACACCACATCGAAACGGGAGCATTCTGCACTCAGAAAACAGTGGAATCAAAGGGCATGGCGAAGTATGTTAAAAGCATGCTGGTGTGTTCCCAGGAATGTTTTTGTGAACACAACTTCCTGCTTGGTGGAAACCGAATTTCTTCAGCCGTCCTCCATCCTCCAAATCCGTTCCCTAGTGCTCCTCCCTCTCCTGTATGCCCTCGAGTGTTTGTTTTGGGAATTAAGAGCATGTTTTTGCACAAAAATTAGGAATTGATGTAATTGTTTGATACTAATTTTATTGTCTTTAGCTTTTAACATATAAGATAATATTTGAATATATATATTTTTCAGACAATTGTGTCTTTATGTTTTATACTCAATAATAATAGAATTTACTCTTGTTTTATAATTTCTTTATTTTACTTTATATTTTTTTACTCTGGTTTTTTTTTTTTTTTTGGCTTTTTTTTTTTTTTTTTTTTACTCTGGTATCTCTTTTACTTTTACTCTTACTTTATTTTATAGGATGCTTACCTTACTCAGTAATATCTGGCCAGCTGCAAAGAGTGTCTACTCGCCTGACTCTTTGCCTGCGCTCAGGCCCCACCTTGGGCGCCACTTTGCTGGGACTAGCTTGGCATGAACACATTTCTCTGAGTGGGGAAGGCTGTGGATTAGAAATAGATGCAATAACAAACACACAAAGCCACACAAGTACAGAACAGTGAGGATTAGACGGACACAACTTCTCTGATGGAAAAGTTGTGACCAGAGCCAGCCTCAGGTTTATTCTTTTAAAGGGCAGAAAATGGGAGAAGGGGAAAATGGGATGCAAAAAGAATGGAGAAGAAGGAAGTAGAATGTAAAGAGAATAAGGGAAAAGAAATTAAAATGCAAAGCCAGTTGTTTTGGATGTAAACTGTCTAAACGTGTGAAAATGACTGGCGCCATATAATTTCTCTGATCTTTGGGGGGGGGTGACTGGCGCCATATAATTTCTCTGATCTTTGTGTGTGTGGGGAGACAATTCGATACACACATGTTACTTTCTTTAGCCTGATCCTGGGCAGTATCGGGGTATTGGGTATTAATAACAACAAGAAGACAACCATTGACAACAGTCAAATATGCTTTTGTATGTAGATGCTTCTCAATAGCCCTGCTAGAGTAGCTTACGAAATAGCATTTCTGCATGCGTCTACAGGCCACATGTTTAATCACGTGTTTTCAAATCGGCTTGTCATGGTGACTGCCAATGATCTAACCGGCGTCACTGGAAACCTGATACACTTCGTATGGGCACCAGAACTTGTCAGACTGTCCTTGTGCTTTTGAGAAATCGAATCATGGTCTGTGAGAATGTAATAGAACAATTGAACCCTCAAACTTTAGAGCTTAACAAAAAGGAAACTGGAGACGTGACCTCTCTGAAGTGCCCAAACTATGTCAGATGTCATCTCAGACGTTTTTTATACATTATCCCATTTGGTCCTCAGCCTGTGAGCTTATTACCTGCTCCAGATTTCACTGACACAGCAGGTTCAGGGTGGACCGGGTCCAAGGTCACAGGTGGACAGTGGACTCCAAAGTCCGTCCTCTCCTTTTAGAACCGTGTTGGAGTGGTACGAGCAGGGGCCCCTGGGCTGGACTGCCGGCAGGTGTGAATCCAGGTAAGCGCGGGACAGTTGTTTACCTTCTCTCTGCTTTCCTCCACTGAAAAGCAAGGATACCAGTAGTTCTTTCACAGCAGGATTCTTTTTAAATAGAGTAACTCAGGTGTACGTGCGGTGCTTCACATGCTGCCTGGCACCGAGTCGTCAGCACGCGTGTTGTGTGAGTAACCTGCTAGCTGCCCTGGAAATCTGGCACGCTCTGTGTAGGAATCCAGGAGGAGGTGGCAGACTCTGACTCTGCTGTTCAGAATACCCGTGGAGACCCAGCACCCGTAACAGCTCAGCACACAGCTTGGCAGGAAACAGTGAGATTTTCAGAAGTGAGGCATCTTGGCTAAGGCCGAGGAATCTCTGAGGGCAGAGGTAATGCCTGTGCTGTGTGGTCCTGCCCGTTTCCAGCCCCTTCTACATGTGCAGTGACCCTGGGCCCACAACCGCCTTGCACACTCACCCTCCATCCCACACGGCCTCAACCTGTGCTCCTTCAACTCTCCAGCTGGCACTGTTCTTCCTGGTTAAA